CATTTCTGCTTCTATAATAGCCTTAGCGTGATGGATCTCAGTTGGTGAAAGAAGTTACCCTGCATTTGTAGCTTAATGTTCTGTAATGCTCAGTGATTTATAACTAGTTTTTCCAAATCAGCGGATTTATAGAGAGAGCTACTTGCATGAGGTCATATTGTTACTTAAAAGAAATGACATTGCCACAAATTTGATGCTTTGTGAGGTGTCTTGAGTCGATGTCTGATTCAAATATTTCCTGCTGTCTCTGAAATGACTACTGTATTTATTGCTTATGTTGATTACTCAGTTAAATACTTAAAAAACCTTGAATTTTATCATGTAATTTATTGTTCCTACTCTGGAAGCAAATGTAGTCTGATTGACAGTGAGAATTTATTTCTGTAGCTGCACTTTGGGGTGTGTTACAGAAGAGGAAACATACCAAGTAAAAATTTCATTTTCTCGTTAATTTCATGCATAGTTTCAATTCTTTGGCTGAACAACACCCATGAGTTTTCTTCCCTAATCCTTAAAATATTTAATAAAAGGTCACTTGTTTAAGACCTGTGTGTACGGCTTTGTTCTTTAATAATCAAAGCATTCTGAAGAAATATATTGTACCTGAAGGGGAACTTTGCATGGAAAAATATCAATTTGCAGAAAAATGCATAAAGCATGCTCAGTTCATAAAATATTTATCCTAGGTGTCAGTCACACCTGGTGGTCTTAAATAAATGGTAGATATTTCAGCGCCACAGGTTTAATTATTTTCCTAGGTTTTGGTCGGGAAAGTACCATTTGAGACACTCCATTACAAATTAATGCCAACAGATATCAACAGTAATTGACTAAAGAGTAGGAAGCACAGGGTAGTGGTTCTGGAGTGAGATTGAAGTGGGGAGAGGAGAAAGCATTGAGTGGGATGGGATGCCTCAGGGATCTGTGATGGGAAGCCTTCCATTCTCTATCTTTCTTCTCCCCAATCCCATTCTCTTCCTTTCTCTTCCCCCCCCATTCCTAAAATGTACAATTGATGTTGATTTGCAAGCTGGTTAGATTTGCAAGGTGACAGCAAACTATGGGGTGCTCTGGATTCACAATCCATTTCAGCCACCTGCTCCTGACATAAGTATCATTTAATCTGGTAACAAAATGCTGCTGTCTCTTTCCAAACTAGTTCAGGGCTGCTGCCAGGGTGCTGGAAAACCTCCACTTTGAATTTTGTTTACACTGCGTAATGATAAAATGAACTGATATTTGAAGCCGGTTGTTGGAGAACTATTCTCTACAGTAAATACAGCGTAGGGGTATTTCCATCACATTGTCATCAACTTTCCTACATTGGTGTTGTTCTAGCAAAATAAAATCCGCTTGGCTACGGATGCTCACACATGCAAACCACTAAAATAAATGAGGAATCAGCTCTTTAACAGGAAAATCGCCCACTTGATGGGAACATCAGCCAGGAATCTGCTTTAGACGCCACTTGTGGAAAGTGTGTCTGTGTGAATGTGTTGAAACTTACTGTGCTGTCACAGGCACTGCGTGAAGTACTGCTCTTAAGTCTTCATCTCCCTTTCCTCGGACAGGAAACTGAGGAAAATTAACTGCACTCTCCTCCACTCTCAACCCCCCCCCCCCCCCCACCACCTCCAACTGGAAAACAAATTGGATGAAATGATGTGACCAGACCTAGTTCATGTGACTTTCCTAATCTCTGGCTCAGTGCCATACTTCATTGCATTGTTCGTTTTACAATCTGACATTATAAGGCACCTCTTCCTTTATTTTAAAATACAAACTGCATTGGACTGTATCTGTTGCTGCTTGATTAAACATTGCGCCATTTTACCAAAGCCAAGAGCATTGTGTAATATTTTCATGAATTTCTCAATTTGCTAAAGCTCAAGGATCTCTGGAATCGGAGAAGACCATTTGGCTCATTCACCTGTTAAATAGTCCTGTGAGCAGAACCCAGCTATTGATTTTTGTTATATATAAGTTGATTCTTAATACGAGTTTATTGTTCATTCACAATATTTTCCCACTTCAATATGTAGACTTCTATTTTCCTTTTCTTTGCTAGTCTGCCCATAGAGGTTTATGCATCTATAATCCTTGCATTTGATATAGTGCTTTATCACATCGTTGAGACGTCTTAAAGCGCTTCACAGGTTATACTGTAAAGTGAATTGACTGTATTTTGTGGGCGAAATACAGATCATTCCTTATCAATTACCAATCCAATTACACCAGATTACTTGTGAGTGATCTGCAGGTTAGCTAGCACATAATTTCTAGATCAACACTGCTGAAAGTGGTATTTGTCATCACACTAGTGAAAGTGTTTAAACAGTCATGTCAATTTGTGTGAGTAATCTTTGATCCATGTAATTTATCCTGCAAGTATATCTGGTCTGTTTCTAGTTTTGATGAATAATGCATAGATGCATTAGGCTAGAAATGACCGTACATCTGGGATCTAAATCTTTGAAAATTTATATTTTCTTATTTACTTTTGGCATCAGATCATTCACTACCAATTTATTACCCAATCCTTTACCTCTCCCCTGTCCAAATGCAATCTGTTGTTTCAACAGTACTATTCTCGTGGCCAGGTATAGCAAAACAAATTGACCAGCCCTTCAGATGCTGTCAATTCTGTTTCATGGTAAACTTTCCCAGGAGCTGTATTCAAGTACTGCAGGAAGTAGACCACACATATACACACTTCTTTCTCCCTTGGAGTTGAGACGAAGCAAAGGTACTAGATATTTCTGCGTGGCCTTAACATATTAACTCACTAATGTGCTCTTTACTTATGGAAACAATATGTTTGAATGAGTGGAGATAGCGGGTAAAGTTGATCTGTGATTAGCAAATGAAGTTTCACTCATTCATCTGAAGGTTAATTTGTTAATCTATCATTTTCAATGAAATATGTTGAACAATGATAACAAATGTCCAATGTATGACTTTTAACATGTTGGAATATAGAGTAACATTAACGTTCTTAAGATTTTAAAATAGTTCACATCTAAAAGACAGAAGGATGTTTATCTAGACAAGTTACAAACAACATTGTTTGGTAACAGAAAAATTTGGATAAAGTCATTGATAAATTACTTATAATTGTTACAATCTCAGATTCTGCACAAAACTTAACATTGAAATGATTGGGAGAACTGATTTTACTATCACGGAAACAAAATCTACCTCTATCAAGCAACTAGACTGGGCATTAATTTTCAAGCATATTATTTAAGCATTTAAAGCACTCCGAGGACCAGCTGGTTTGGATGGGTGGTCAGCTCCGATAAGTGGAGTTCAAATAAATAGCCTGCACTGTAAATAGAATGAATGCACCTCTTACAAAAAACAAACTGGCCACCTTTGGCTAAGTATAATCTTGGAGTGAAGTGACTGCTTAAGTAGGAGGCAGAGCTGTAAGCCGCAGCCAAGTGACATTTATGATCAAGAAGAGTGAGGGATCATAAACGCTCTTGAAATTAAATAGTCAAAAAGATTATATTTCAAAACAACAATGAGTTACTGAGTTGCTTCAAATAATAGAAACGTGATGGGTCTGAGATGCTTTTTGGCATTATTTTCTCACAACAGAATTGGCAATTTAAGGAAAGGTTATTGAACCCCCATTGCTGCCCTGGCTGATGTGAACTGATTCAGGACAAAATAGTGCCTTTAAACCATCTGGGCTGTACAGATCAGTTTTAATTATTTCCTCATTATAGTTTTAGATTTTTTTGAAATAAAATAACTAACATTCTCATTTTCACTCCTTTTGCATTTTAATAATAATAATAATGCTTATATTTGATAGAGCACCTTATCACGTCTTCGAGACATCTCAAAGCTCCCTTGCCTCCTTTAAGGCACTTCCCGAGACCCTCCTCTTTGACAGCGTCCTCGACTAACCTGCCACCCTGCTCTCCACCCCGCCTGATCCCAACCCCCCAGCTCAACAACATCTTAATTTTCATTAGCCACAAATCAATAACATTCCTGCTTAGTGCAGCTATTCATAATATATTATACATGTTTCAAAATATCTTATTTAATTCAACATGGGATTATTTGCAAATAAATAGTTGTCACTTGAATATATTGAAGGATGTGACTTTTTTTCTGTCGGGTAGCTGGAATGTCTTATCTTGAGAGAAGTTTTGTACACTTAATAATAATAATAATCCTTGTATTTGATATAGCGCTTATCATGTTTTCTCGACGTCTCAAAGCGCTTCACAGAAAAGGGCGAATTTGTGGGCGAAACGTGGCAGCCAATTGCGCACAGCAGCATCCCACGAGCAGTCATGGATTGAAAATGAACAATTTATTATTGTTTTGTTTTGGAGGGATTATTATTAGGCGTGTGGAGTAAGGAAACTTGCCCAAGGTTTCACCCTGCCTGGAATTGAACCCAGGTGTCTCGCTTGAAACACAAAGAAAAAATTATTTTCATTGAAAAAACATCGTAAAGAAGGAACGTTTTCAGAGCACTTTATCACATTGAAATAATAATCCTTGCTTTTGATATAGCGCAGTTGCAACGTCGAGATATCTCAAAGCGCCTCACAGAGTACACTGCAAAGTGTGGTGACTGTTTTGTAGGCGTTAAAGTGCCTCAAAATGCCTCAAAAAGTACTCCGTAGATAATTACTGCAATTATAGTGAGGACCTCCATAGCAAGCAAAGATGGTGGGAACAGGCAAATTAAATTAATTGTTTGGCAGGGCGGAAGGAGGCCAAGAGAGAAACACCGTGGGGCTAGCAATATTTTATTTTCCAAATCGAACTCTTGTACACTTTAATTTTGAGTTGGAATTGAATTTGTGACACGATGCGCTACAGGGTCAAGCTTTTGTGACCTTACTGTAAGCCTCATGACAAAAAACAGTTTTGGTCTTTGTATTTATTCAACCTTAATGCACCATTGAATTGTGTTTCGTAAATTGTTTTGATGTTATCTCACGAGGTTCCTTTTTCCTCCCATCCCTTAGGCAGAGAAACTACCAGATGGGCCTGACTCAGGCTATGGATCATTTCACCAGCAGTATTGGTTGGATGGAAAGATTATTGCAGTTGGAGTAATTGACATTCTTCCATCCTGTGTCTCCTCTGTGTACCTTTATTACGATCCAGATTACTCGTTCTTATCATTGGGTGTTTATTCTGCTCTCAGGTAATGATGGGATTTATTTTTAAATCTTGCTTTATTTAATGTGTTCAGATGGGTATTGTATTCTAAGGTTGAAAGTTTTCCATTGTATTTAAAAGATTTTTGAATTATTATTTTTGCCTGCTTTACATTTATATTCGACGAGAAACGTCTCTCTTAGACTGATATTTAGTGTTCACTGGAATATATCAAAATAAGTACCCTCACCATCTGTGTTGCTGTAACATGGTCACAGTTGATCTATGATAAAGGCACCAACTAATATTTATTTAAGGGAAGGGTAATCTATCTGAGTCTGTTTGACTCAACAGTGTGTTAGATGTGATGTGTTACCTACCAATTGCCAGACTTCATTTATTACTTCTGAACTTTTGGAAGAGAGAACTTTTCTCTTTTTATGCATTGTGTATTGCAAATTTTTGAGAAACAGAGGTATTAAGGTAAAATTTTAAAAAGCAAAATTCTCCTGCTTTTGGAATCCAGGCAACTAGTGCCTTGGTGGGGGATACTCTTATCTAGCTGGCTAGCACGGCCTCCAAGACCACAGCACTCAGGATTCAGTGATGAGCCTTTGAAATTGTACGAGAGGCTAACAGCTTTTATGTGTGTTTTGTCCATTTCTTAAGTCTTTTTATTATATTTATGTACTGAGGTGAGGTTGAAAGAACCCATGAAAAGTTTAGTCTTCGGGTCTTCTTCATTTACTGACGTTCATACCATCAGAATTAAAGCCATGTTATCTGTTGATGAATTGGGTTGTGTAACCCTTTGCACATTGTGCAGCAACATGCACTGAACACAGCCTCGGCTGTCCAAATGAGTTGAACGCTTGTCTCAAGTAGCGCTTTGACAGAAATGTATTGAAGCTCTCTAGATCTGATTTCAAAAACTTCGACTGTGCTCCAGCTCTCAATCATTACCAGTTTTCTATTGATATTTATTACAATAAAAGGTATAGTGAATGAATTCCTAAAATTGGATGAGAGAAGATTCCAAACCAAATCTAACTGAATTGCATATATTTCCTTATATCTATTGAATTTATTGATATATTCTACTTCCAAATGGTGTTTCATTAATAGTATTTTGCTTCATCTTTTTCTCTCTGGCTATTAACAGGCCAGGCCATCTCAATTAAAAAGCTCAGTAAAGGCAGGCAAGATTATACTTTTGTTTGTGCAGATTGTTTCATTAGCATATGAATTGCAGCCTGAAGGCGGCTTCTCTTTTGCTGGTTTATTACCAAAGAGGAAAATGATCCAATTCTTGCTTGTTCTGTTGTCTTCTGCCCAGCTGGGGATCATGGCAGGCCCTGATCTCTGTGGAAAAAAAATCAGGATACATGAATATTAACGAGAAAAATGTTAAATAGACTCTTAATCATGGCTGCTTGAATTTTGAATTACCTGCTTGGAGAGAGGAGATGCTTGCATAATAGAGGTTTCAAGCTCTGGCTCGAGATGTTTTTTTATGAATATTGCTCTTTCTGAACTGACGCAATTATGTTGATTTCTATTCTTTGGTGAGGGTAAAAGAGTATGCTGAATTCTAGCTATTTCTGCAAGCCCATTGCAGCACATGATTGAACTTAGTATATTGGCCACTGCTACTTTTGAACTTAAATACTTAATTGAATGAAGTATTATGTGCTCTGGTTTCTTCTAGGGAAATTGCTTTTACAACTCAGCTCCAGAAGACAGCCACTAACCTACGGTATTACTACATGGGCTTTTATATCCATTCATGCCCTAAAATGAAATATAAGGTAATTAAAGTTGTCTTGTTTAAATGTTCAAATGTATGAATGTATGAATTGCATGTTTCGTTTAATGTTTGGTCAATACAGTTAGTACTGAAATCTGATCAATGTATTTCTACTGTTCGTGAACATAACTTTGACATGAACCAGATACTGATGCAAAGTCATTCAGTTTGGAATTGCTGAAGGGAGTATTTGATCCATGTGATGTATGGATTGGTCACGTAGTATTAAAAGGGCTTATTCTTCATGAGAAGCATTTAGCGCAGTTTTGGTTTGTTTGGGAGAAATTTCAGGAAATCCTGGTGCCATTTCTGTCAGGATGAAGTTGTGCATATGGCAATCATTGCATAATGTACCTGATAACAAATGAGAAAAAGTTTACCAGCCGTGAAGATGATGGCTTTTTAACCCTATCACCAGTCATTTCAAGAAAATATTTTGTACTGCTTTAAGTTCCACTTATTGTAGAATTACCTCTGAGTCTTGCTTTTGTCAATTAATTACTGCTAATTTTACTTTGATTGTACTGAACTTGAAACAATTCATTCACGAAATGCTGCACTAATGTCTGAACAACAAAATGTTACAAAAGTGAAATAAAGCAAAACTATATCATAGAAGAAAATCAATCAAAAAAAGCATCAAACCAGCCTTGATTTGGCTGGGGCTGGGGAGATACCATTCTCACCTCTGGGTCAGAGGTTATGAGTTCAAGCCTCACAACAGGATTTGGGCTCAAATTTGTGGCTAAAACTCCAGTGGAGTATTAACATTGTTGGAAGAGACTTTAAACAAAGGTCTGGCCAGCCAGATGGATATTAAAGGCCCCGTAGCACTATTTCAAAGCGACCTCCTGGTGCATCCCTCATCTAAATTCATCAAAAAACAAGATTGATGGATTGTTCTTGTCATTGCTGCTTGTGGGATAGTGCTGCTACAGATTAGCTGCCACATTTGCCTACATAACAACAAACACTTCACACTTCAAAGTAACTCATTCTGTGAAGCACTTTAAGTTGTTTAGGACATGAGAGGTGCTGTACCAAATACTGCAAGTACTGATAGCTTATGTTGTAATTTTGCAATACCGATTTACAACTACTATAACATTAAAAAATACTACAAGTTTAAAAAATGCATTGAATCCAAATTAGAACATGACCTGTCTGTAAGATTGTTACACCTAGAATTTTGCCAAAATCTATTAATTTGCTTCAGTTTGCGAGGGACAGGTTTAATGAATGAGTCTCCACACTGGAACTGCATTTCATCAGGGTTTTGTCATCCAGTGATCAAAATGAATATCACATTAGCACAGGTGATGCTGTGGCTTATTGTAAAGCGAATTTTATGCACCTTACAATTTACATTTATCACATCATTTGAAAGCTTTGAACAGCAGGAGAGTCATTGATTGTATACTGTGAAATCAGGTGATTTAAATTAGTGTTTTGTCCTAATAACAAAGGCTCAGTTTGTTTGTTTCTTTGCAACCAAAGATTTTGTCCGATTTCAGTAAAAGAACCAGCCACATATGAGTTGCAAACATTCAAGAACTTGCAAATTTCCTTCACCTGTGCAGTGGGCTGCCGCATTTCGCCCACAAAATACAGTCACTACACTTTACAGTATATGTTCTGGAAAGTGTTTTGAGATGTCTAGAAGATGTGGTAAGGCACTATATCAAATATAAGGATAATTATTGTTCCAAATTAAAATCCATACTTCAGAGTTGGGTAAGTTATTATGAAAACAATTAATCTTCAATGGCCCTCTTGAAAAACTAAGTACTGTACATCATTATTATAAAGGAATCTATCATTCTCTTCGGTAAAAGATTTGTTAAAAAAACTTTGTAAATTAATTCTTTTTTTACTGATATTACACAGAGAAGCACAATTTAACCACTCAAAATTACACTAAAGAGCCTGCACAATAACTTCCAGTTGTCATAAAACATCACGAATAACTAAATGTGTCAGCATATGTTTGTAAATAATCGCATACATCTTCCAATCTGCTGCCTGAGACAGAATTTTTCATTCATTAGTTTTCTTTAACCCTCCAAGGATTATTGCAGCTAGGATCTCTCTACCATGATGCCTGAACATATGACAGAATGGATACAGAGATTTTTATCCGATAAGTAATTAACATAGAAATGTTTTACACTGTCATTCATCAGCTGCAGAAGTAGAGCGCTTTATACTTCGAGACTAAAGCTTCAATCCTCGTTTCAAGTGGAACTTGATTTTCTCCAATGAGTAATTGAACTTTCCTGCTGCAATACTTTCAGCATGTTGTGATTTTGCAGTGTAGCATCTCTGGTTAGAATGGGAAAGAGATGGGAGCCTCAAGGACCAGTCCTCTCTCTGTACTTCCAATCACTGATAATAGAGCAGCATTGATGTTCACAAGGAAATATACAGCCAAATAGCTGAATGAGAAATGTGGCAGCAGTCACAAAGACAATTGCTTCCTACACTGTCAAAAAAAATTAGAAACTACAACTGACAAAAACCTTTCGTTCACGTCACAGTGTTAAATGCCAGGATATTTTTTTTTAAAAAAAGCAACCTCCTTTTCTTGGAAAATATCCTTTTGTTTTAGTCCACAAATCAGCTGTAGCAAAGTGAACACACAGGCACTCTGGCCCCACCAGTTGAATTAGCCAATTGGACCCCCCCATATGTGAGCATTTTAGGGATTAGTCTTCCCCCATAATGTCCTTCCCCAGAGCAACACAAAATATAAAGTCAATTCACTTTACAGTATATTCTGTGAAGAGCTTTGAAACGTCTCAAAGACGTGTTAAGGCACTATATCAAATCCAAGTATTATTAACACAGATTAACACAGGCACTATATCAAATCCAAGTATTATTAACACAGATATGACTGGAAATTTGACCATATTGGACATCAATTTTTCATCCCATCTTTCCTATCTATATTATGTTACTCTATACATCTTCAGTTATAGAGAAAATGTGATATTTGAAATATGTCCTTCTCTACAGCTTTGTCAATGTTGTTCTATGTTTTGTTCTGATGTTTACTGGGTGCAATAGCTTTAGTCTATTTTATAAATGTAAGCACTATTTTGAAACTACTCGTAATAATCAAGAAGCCCCATTTTGTTCAGTAAAAATGGAAACAACTTAGGCGTTAATTGTACAGACTAATACAGCCCAGTAACTCCAGGATGGTTACAAGATTAAAGTCTAATCTCAGCAGTTGCTCAACTTCACAATCCTCATTTAAGTTTATTTTATGATTTCTCAGCTGAGCAGCTTGGCTGAGCACCACCTAGAGACAACCAATCACAGCTTCATCCTAAACAAGCATACTTCTGGGGATAAAGCAATATTAAGTGGGAATTAACTTTTTTAAAAGAGAAAGCAAACCCTGACAAAAAATAAATAAAAGCAATTCTTCCCTCTACCGCAACATTTTTAAATGAATTGCACAGCTGTGGCTTGTCATCCTATTTTGTAGCCAAGTTATTGGAGAGACTTCTCCATGAGGAATAACTGCTCATTTGGCACCAGGTCATTTTTCTACCTATTGATTGATCCAAGGAGACATGTTGATATTAATTGAATGAGCTGCAGACACCTCTGCAACCTTTGCAGCTGTTGGAATGAATGTGAACACCTATAGTATAATACAGCATTTACAGTATTAAGTTCCCAGATTAGTGGTAAAGACGGCACTGTTCGTGTGTCGTTCCATTATGTGCCAAACTGTCAACAATTCTCCACGGAACAAAAGCTGCATTATCCAGCCAATTCTCACAGCTTAGACTTCCTCCATCTGATCATTTCACTGATTTATAGCTTTTCTGTCCACTCAATACACTCACAGAGCCAAAAAAATGGACGCATGATATTACAAAGCTGCAAGAGAACATTTTAGATTTCTCCTGAAAGTCTCAAATGTATTACAAGCAGTCAAACGCAGGAAATAATGTCCGACTTCAGCCTTCCGATTTGAAGAATATGGGTGAGCAAGGCTCTGATTGATTTAATACACAATTCCACCGGGCAGGACAACCATTTAGCCTCTCCACCAATTGTAGAAATCTAGTGCTTGCAACAGTAAAACAGAAGACCTGTCCTACAGTGGAGTTCTACATTAACAATTTTAAATTAATCATTCATAAAGTATTATCTTATTTTCAGACATCAATACCACATGACAAAATCCCATGATTCAATTTAGCAAAAAAGATAGGATTTTGCATATATCCAGTTAGAGCGGAATAAAATTAAGGGATGAATTTTGAAGAAACTATTTCTTAAATAAGCAGAAGATTTATTCTGTGCCTAAACGTTGTTTTCTTTTCTTGTGTAAAACAACACTATTTGCAGAATTCAAGATGTGTTTTTTGACTCCTGCATCTAATACAAATGTCTGCAGCTAGGGTCCTTTGATGTGCCAAAAATAAAAGTATTTTATGTAATGTTTTCCATCGGAAGCATGTAACTTGCTCTGATTTTACTCCTTAGGGACTAGATATTTATATCGCACTCATTCTTGGAACTTTGAAGCTACTTTTCACATCTCCATACATATGTCATCAGTATTTGAAGCCAAACTCCTTAATTACAATAGTTCTTACGAAGGGTCGTGGACACGAAACGTTGACTCACTTTCCTTTCTCCATAGATGCTGCCTGACCTGCTGAGTGTTCCCAGCCACTTCTGTTTTTGTTTCAGATTTCCAGGATCTGCCGTATTTTGCATTTTGTAACTACAACAGTAGTCAGTTAGTTCCTGCAAAATCAGTTTAGTCCCTTTTTCTCAAACTCATTCAAATCCTTTTAGTTGCAGTAAGTTTGAATCAGTGTCAAGTTATCTTAAGCAGCGTTCCATGTAAATTAATTACTTTCACAGGACAAGAACAAAATTGGATTTAACATTTTAAACGACAAATAGGTTGTCATTATTTTTCACAGTAGGAAGTTGTTTTTTGTTGAATTTTTCCCCTCTTCTCTTCTG